TATTCAATCACAAAGTTGAGAAGATTAACTGCGAAGCCGAAAAGTAATAACTGAATCGAAAGCCTTATTAAAATCGGTTTGGCTGATGTCAGTGTGCATTCCTCTCATAAAATCATTTACTACAAGGAAAGTAATCTCAAGAAGGTTATAGGTTCAGGATGTACGCTTCACGAACCGATATTGGGATTGCGATTCTTTTAAAAGCTTTAGGAATAGCACGCAATTTGGAAATAACTCTATAGTTTTCCACATTAGTTTTACTCCGTTTTTTTTTTTTTTTTTTTTTTGGAGAGAAATGATAAACGGATCTTTTCAGATGGACGGGAATGGTGAAAGTGTTTACAGACAACAATCTGAGGGAACACCATCAGGGCCCGGTAAGTATACCAGCTTGATTGTATTAAGCTCGCTAAGAAGCGAACTTACAGTAATAATTAGATTAAAGATGCAGTTGGAGCTCTGTAATTGATGTGGATAAGGCTGATTTACCAAGAGGATAAGGATTTGTTTAAAGAGTTTGTGAACAGATTGGTAATACAAGTTATGTGATGTAATTCATAGAGATTCCAATATGATAAATAGGTGTCCAATGATAAATAGGTGCGCTAAAACCTTAAACTCTCATTAGCCAGTATTATGGCAAGCTGACCAGATCATATAAAAGCTTTGAAAAACCTCAAACCAAAAATCGAACAAATAACATTTATGTTTTAGCTGATATGAAGATATATATATATATATATATAGATATAGAGTTGTCAAACAAACAAACTTACTTACCAATATAGCATCACGAATATTTTTTTTAATATCATCAATTTTCTGTTTTTTCTCTTGTTCAGAAAATCCATCGACGTGCAATATCCGCATTTGTTTGACTATAGTTGATTTACCGGACTCACCCGCTCCCAATAAGAGAAGTCTGTGTGTTGCCCGATAAAGCTGTTTATCCTTCTGCAATTGCCTTGATATGGCATCGCTTCTGCGCTTTTGGCTTTTTGAATCCTCCGAATTTACATCAGACTGTTTCGAAGTGGGAGAGCCAAAGCAACCCATAGCAGTCCACGGCGTCCACCAACACGTCGCTCGATTCTCTTGGTTGGCGTCGGGGGACTCTGCACCCCTAGTACTTTCTCCGTTTTGCTCCAGTATAACAGAGTCTTTCAATTAGGTACTAAATTGATTTTGATAACCAATTTATGCAATTCCAATTACTCCGTTCAAGTTGCCTCGAAGCGACTGTTTAAGATTAATCTATGCAAAATAAAAATTTACATTAAAAAATATGCATTTGAACCTATTTAGCTGTTGCATAAGGTATTATTTTGTCGAGACATGTGCAACACATATCCATATTTCATAAAATATGTATATATATAGTCATATTGTTCAGTTTTATTGTTTATTTATCATAATGCAAGTTAAATATTATATGAACCAATAGGAGAAGATTAGAATAAAGGGTCAAATATGCCTGGTTCTTACAAATTAAATTATTAATATGAAATAAAATCGTTTAAGAACTCATTTTTGGCAGGCAACGATGGGAACTACGAGCTGTTCGTAAGAGTTTAGACCCAACTTGACATACGGACATGTTTGGGTCGACAATTGGATATTTTATATGAGAATATATTTTTCAGCTTGGTTAACTTTTTGTGCAAATTTGTATGGGCTTAACGTAATAATTAGCAATCATTTTGTCAAGCATAATAAAATGTATATATACATATAATTTTCATATTTATATATGCATGCGCCTATATAAATGTCGAATTATGCGAACAAGCACAAGTTTCGAGTACCGTGTAACAGGTGAAAAGTGGGCTTGTTAGCGCATATGTACTTGTATTTATATATATATACATATTTGTATATATATATATATATATATATCTATAATTTACATATATATAGATGGTACCTAAAGGATATCTCTAGTTATAGATATAAAATGTATTATTTAAACACACTTCATGTTAACCATAAATTTATTGTGGAACTATTATATTATATGGAATTAATCACATATTATTAATATACTACAATTCTAAATGGATGAATTTTCGCGCATGAATATCTGAACAATTTTTATAAATATGTATTCACATATATATGTATGCATATACTCAAATTTACGTGTCGCATATACATATATACACAGATATCTGCCAATGTATAAATATATGGCTATTTGTAATGTAATGTCCATATGCAAGTAGATCAGGCAAGGTTTTATTCAAATTTATTTTATCAGGTAACGTTTAATAGTTTTTTATTTTTTTCAGCATTAAAAGGTCAGACTTGTTTCGCCTTATACCACGCAAGGAATCATTTAGAGTTATTATAAATACACATAGCATTCAATACGTATTGAGAAAACGCGATTTTCATTGTTTATGATGTGCTTTCTATTAACAAAAGGCTTATATTATAAAAGCATCATTTATTGAGGCAATGTCAAGGAAAAATATACCTTGATTACACAAATACCAATACACTAGATATTTTTCATAAACATATAAATTGGATAACAAATCTCGTTAATTGCCCTAACATGCCACATTATAAAACTAATACGATTTTTAACTTTTCTTCAATAACTAAAAAACTCACTTTTATGTATTTTTATTTTATGTATCAACCTAGAGATGTACCTTAACCGATAGTTTTTTCTTATTCGAAGAAATCGTTTTTAGCGATGTTAAACACACACTAAATATTATACAAGGCATTCGGTTAAGGCACAATACTGCATACTTAAATAGAGCGTTTGCAAAAGGAACTTCGCAAGTTACTGTTGTAATTTGAATTATCGCCAGCGCTGACAGACGCAGCAAGGGGACGGGGTTGGAAACACCAAGATTCGATCCACTCTCTGAGTGGCAATATTTTTGAGAGAGTGCGAGCAATTTAATAAATACCTTAAATTTCGCTGCGGCTACCTTATATAATAAAGGTGCACGCAAAAATGGAAAAATAACGGAGAGGGAGGTTTGCAATTTTTTTGTTTTCTATTCCATCATATTAATAAAACTTAATGCATAAATTTTATGGAAAGATTAGCGGAAAATGGTCGTGCTAGATTCTGCATGAGTCACATCGCATCAGCTATAACATTAGCAAACATTTAAATTGAAAAAATGCTTTTCTTTGCGAAGAAGGCTGGCAAGTCTCTCTTGCAATTGTCGCAGCTGCTATATAATGCATTCATTCGTTGTTGATCTGGGCGAAGGATAGAAATTGTACAAAACAATCTATATATTCGGCTACAATTTGTCTTAAATTTTATAGTTATCAAAAAATATGCTATTGCAAAATATTAATACATAGACGCAGCTAGCTGCCTCTCGCTCTCTCTTATTTGTGCGGTTATTCGCCGGCTCAGCCAAGACACATACGCTTATACATAAAAATACACAGGAACATAGGTGTTGTATGCGCTTACAGCTCTAAAGTTTACTGATGTGGTAGAAAAAAAAGAGATTTTCTTAAGTTATTATTCGTGGGCGCTAAGGGTATTAAGGGTATGCAAGCAAACGAAATTAGCATTACCCGCAAGAAGAGTTAAATTTTTATGGAATTGGCAGCACGTTACGCGATGATTTCGACGAGGTTGTAGGCTTGGTTGAAGCTGGAGCGGGGAATTTCGACCTATGACTCTGCCTTATAGAGGATGTGTAAGGGTACCATTTTCACAAGAATTATGACCATGAAAAATTTTGTAAGATCTTAATACAAAATTGATTTAGAATCCAAACCATGGACAACAAGTCAAACCTCTTGAAAATCGGATGAGTTTTTACCGAGATATGGGAGTGGGAAATTTTGAAAATTTTTTCACATGAATTTTGACCTATAATTAGTTGTCAGATTTACAATCCATATTAAGCTAGAGGCCAAACCGTAAACAAACAGCCAATCCTCGTGGAAATGCCTGTTTCCTATCAAGGAATATAAATGAGCACCAATTACTAAATCAACTCTTTGACATTATCTTAGACAACAGCAACTAGCAGTCGACGCAAATTAATGTTACAGTATATATATAAGATCTCAGTGCACTGAATACACTAGTAAAATCAAAATATAATCTAAAAAATCCGATTAGCAGCTTTCCATACACTTAGCATATCGCTCAACAAATCCCCCTTTGTATTGTACGGAATTAACACAACAGAAGACTTAATAGGAAAAATTCAAATAATAAACAATAAAAATTTTAATAATATCAGAATCCTATTCACACAGACTCTTGCTCTGAGATCAATGCAGTAAGATTCTGATATATCTTTCGCCCCACTACAGGAAACTAATATCGCTTGCTCACAGTGTTGACATGATTGTCTATAGATAGTTTGCCCAAAAATATAATTTTCCTCAACTAACATGAATAACTGAAAGGGGTTGCAATGGTTGTTGTTGGTAAGCAAAGTACGCCAACATCAAATCATGTTGATATATATATATATATATGAGGTCCTGTACATAGAACTTATTAAACCGTAAATATTCAATATGTTTTCAAAGATTTTAAGTTTCCTATGTTCTCTGTTCATGTAATTCATAGAGCATGAATGAAGTGAGGAGCAAATTGGTCCTTTCTTAAAACTTTTACTTTTGAATGATACTGAACACTTATTGGTAGCCAGAAAGAATCTAAAAGAACTCTGATATATGAATGATTCCATGATTCTATGCCGTTCGTACAAGAGCAACTATACTTTGCATTGATACAATTTTTTTAATCTACCAACAGGTTAAAAACAAACAAAGATGTTTTACGTTAACCGTCTGTGATTGCAGGTGACTGTGGATTTATTTATCTTTTTTTAATAGTTGGTTGATTTTACTGAGTAAAATCACAGTTTTTGATGATCAAAGCTCAAACCGCTGGAGTATTCGTGTTACTCTCTCTTGTCAAACTATCGACGCTATTTTGATGTCTTTTATTTTAAGTGCAATGGGTTGACGCAATGTATGTAATTATTTTATAGTTTTTATTCACAGGTAGCCCTGCGCACCGAAATTAATTCTTTTGGGCCGACATTGTTGCGGCGTGCTCTTCGATTGAACTCTTTGTCTGAAGGTATGTCGTCTTAAAAATCATATTTTCATACGAAAACGTTTTTGTATATTAAGTAATAAGCTTGTTTAATTGATTAAAAGTTATTACCTGTGCTATACAATTGTAATACACAGAAATGGGGGTTGGCAATTCAAAGCACATCTCACACGTGCTTTAGTCCTAAGGAATGTGCGAATGTGGCCTGGCATACGCAATTGGGTTTTTTTTTGTTCTCGCTCAACAAAACGATTCTATTATGACGTATATGTGTATTTGCGACCTAATTTGTTTTAGGATGTGTGCTTAGATACACATTTATATATAAGTTTTTTGCATGTACGTAATTAATATGTACTTTCACACATGTACGTACATATGTGTCAGCATTTTACTGTATAAAACCGAAGAGTTCAAATATATTAATGTGCACGTGTACGCATGTTTCAGAATCTCGCATTTATTCAGAATGGATGCTCCACAGGAAGGAAATGTCGATGCTGAGTCGTGTAATGAAATTGAAGATGATAAGTCAATTTCTGACTGTCAATCCATGTAATTAAAGCGCTTTATGTTTTCTTACTTTTTGGATATTTAAATTTTTATTCATCCACTCGACGACAGGCCAGCCTACATGAACTCCGTGCTACGGCGGCAGTTTTTGCAGGAAATGGTGAAGGCCTTGCCAGCAAGCGTTCAGAACAGGATTGTTGTACTGAAGAACTTGCAATTGGAACATCTGAAAATTGAAGCTGAGTTCTTTGAAGAGGTTTATAAGTTGGAGAAAAAGTTTCAGTTGAAATATCAACCTATGTTTGATAAGCGCAAAGAAATTGTTGTCGGCAATGTAGATCCTTCAGAAGAGAAGCCCAATTGGAAGGAGCCCGAGAATGTGCCGACCGATGGAGAAGTGGGCGATGGATTTCGTGAATCTCTTAAATCCATCAAAAAAATGCCTCAAGATGCAAAGGGCATCCCAGACTTTTGGCTAACCGTGTTCCGGAACACCGCAATGCTGTCTGAAATGGTGCAGACTCATGACGAACCCGCCATTCGCAAGCTCACGGATATTGTAATTAAATACGACAATGAAGTACGTAGACCATTTACTCAACTATCTGTTTTGCCATTAGCTAATCTGGCAATGCCAGGTCTATCGCTCTATGGCGCCTATTTAACTTATTTACTGGAGTAGCTATATAGTTTGTATTTCTTATTATATTATGCTCTAAAGTTTTTGCTATATAATTGTTGTACTTGTGAAATTATTCACACAGTATTCCATTGAAGTATGACTGAATTGGCTAAATAGTTTTGCAATTTCGTATACCCTTTAAGAGTGTATTATAAGCTGGTCATAAAATGTGTAAAACTTAGGAGACACGATGAAGTATATATATATTCTAGATTAGCATTAACAGCCAAGTCCGTCTGTCTCTCACTGGATAGGAACGACAAGTCGAAAAGTAGGTTCTGGTTTGGTTACCTTTATCTATATTAATATAACTTGACCAAACTGGGGATTTATTAGTTCCACTATGGTCCTGCTATAGGAAGCATCGGTCGAAGAGTAGGTTCTTATTTGGCAAAATGTTTAGTTTCCCATGATATTTTCTAACTATTCTCACTTATCTGCAAAAGGGAAATGTCTACAAAAATATTAAATCTTCCTCGTGTCGAAGATATTTCCACTAACTCGTTTCAGTTAATTTTTCCAGCTTTCTACAACTAAAGTCAAATAGTTGAACAAAAATTAAATATATAACATTATGAACATTTTTCCTTTTCAGCATTCTTATACTTTAGAGTTTCATTTCGACAAAAATGAATATTTCTCTAATGCCGTACTTACGAAGCAATACTTCCTTAAATCTACTGTTGACCCAGAAGATCCGTTTGCATTCGAGGGGCCGGAAATTTATAAATGCAAAGGTTGCGTTATCAATTGGGAAAAGAAAATGAATTTAACTGTTAAGACCATCAGAAAGAAGCAGAAGCACAAGGAACGTGGCGCCGTGCGCACAATTGTTAAACTGGTTCCTACAGATTCCTTTTTCAATTTCTTTAATCCACCGGAGGTTTCAACTGACAAGGATGAAATCGATGATGAATCACAGCAGGTAAGATGTTTACTATTCTGTTTTGTATAATATTTTTTTAACTGTGCTCATACATGTACAGATATTGGCAACCGATTACGAAATCGGTCACTTTTTGCGCGCCAGGATTATTCCGAAAGCGGTGCTTTATTATACGGGGGACATTGTCGATGACGAGGACGACGACGATGAAGAGGAATTTGAAAACGAAGAAGATGAATACGACGATGATGAGAATGAGGGTCACAGCAAACCAATTGGCAGCAAAAAACAGTCGCCAAATGACTGTCCCAATCAGTAAAATATAGCCTTCATGTTTCAACTACAAAAGTTGTGTATAATAAGTATATGTAATAAAAATATATTTTTGGTGAATTAAAATTTCAATCTATAAACTTGTTTCACTTGTTAAGGCAATCAGTTAAGAATACAGCTCTTCAAGCAACGTCAATTGGTCGGGACGTCGAACCCGCGATCAAAGGATGCTCGTGACAGCACAAATCTCTTCTAATCAAATTCTAATTCGCGGTAGTAATATTTTTCTCTTGGTTTTACGCCTTAGTATTTTATAAAGAGAAAATAGATTGTATCTTAGAAGGTCCATAGAAAAAGAAGGTCCACTGCAAAACCATTCGACCACAGGCTTTATACATATATTATTTCAAATTATTCTTTATTCATTGACCTTTATTATTCGTAATGAATTGAAATAATAAATGAATTAAAATACAACTAATAGAAAATCGTCTTAAGCTTAGTGCTGAAGGCAGTCAGAATGCCTCTCTCGGCGTAAATTAAATTGCTTCTTTTTATTTTATTTTTTCTTGCGCCCTTTTCTGTTTCATTTCTTCTTCCAGCAACTCGTCGATTACATCATCGAAAGCGCTTTTGAAGGCGGATGCTGCGTCCGTAATTGGCATAATTAATCAATTTTTATAAATGAAGACTCTCTTTAATTAAGAGAACGCAAAACGATTTAAAGAAAAGCAAAAAGTAAAGGAACGTTTTTAGCAACAGGACAAAAATGAAAAAAATACACAAAATTCGAAAGCGATGCTTTTATGCTTTCTATGAATTGAGGAAAGGTTTATTGAGAACGAAGATGCTGAAAGTTGCTTAAAATTTGATAAACTAACAAATTCTCAAAATAAGTTTTGTGTGCCTTGTATTGTACATTATTTAAGTTTGAGTTTTATGTTTGTTTTAAAAAAATGAATTATAAAAATATATTCCCAACGAAATATTCTGAAAGTAATCTTAATTTACTTTTTACCCGCATTATAATTTGGACATTTTTGATATATAAAGTGCATTCAAAGTTAGATCAAAGATATATTGGGCCAATGTATGGCCTACAGAACGAAACATTAGGTAGGTGCGATGCTTTTTCGTGTGTTCTTATATTTTTCATAAATAATACAATTCCTAAGTTAACCAACAAAGGGGAATCCGACTTGATGTACGCAAAACTCTGGCAATACACTTCTACAAGTAAGTAATGGATGTTAATGCTCCTTATATGTATTTAATCATCTATAAACAAACAAAAAACTAGTGACAACATGCTTTTAGCATTATGTATTAACTAAATTTTAAGCTTGCCGGCTTGCGGTAAAAGACTTTGAATAAGTTTATTGGAGATAATCGACCAACATCTGGATGGGTTGAAGTTCATAGGAGCTTAACAATTGAATCGTTTTGCTAAGCAAAAATATAATAAAAATTGAATACACGCCGAAAGAAGAAGAAGAAGACAAAGACAAGTCGCTTGTTAGGAAATAGAAAAACTGTAACAAAAGTGATCTGTGTTCAATGTACACTTGTCTGAATAGCAAAGTTTGCATATCTAATGCTTATAATTTTCGAGTAATGCTTCCAAAACCACACGGCCTGAATATCCTAATAAATAAATTGCAAACACATTTTTTTGGAAACCCAGTCCAGCTTATATCCCTAAGTCAATTGAAAGGTAGTTGCGCTGATGTACAGAATCTAGTATTTTGATTAAAATAATTTCAGCGGAATAGGTAGGGAAAGGTTTAAAGATAGCCACGATTATGTCTAATGAGTGATTTTTATTTCACAAAAGAATTTCATCATCCTCCATCTTGGTTCTGTATGTATGTATGTGTGTGTATGTATGTATGTATGTACCTACATAAGTTCATACAGTCCGCTTAAAACAATATTCACACATACATATACGAAAGCATGTGCACTTGCAATCCGAATTAGATCCCCAAAAACACAAAAATATAAACCTTGGGCTACAACAGTATATGTATTTCCATAACCACATAAGTAATAAATAAATATTATTTGCTAACACATACTTTTTGTCCATATTGCTGCACCTTGCACATAGGCATGTGTATAAACACACATATCCAAATAAAATACTTGAATAAATTATCCCGTGTATTGTTGATTAGCTCCCACAAAATTAACAAAGCATAACAATAAAAATAAATCCCAAAAAGAGAGACTAGGCACTAAAAAAAAATCATCTGGCAATTAATTGCATTCCTTGCAGTTAGAATTTGCCGCATTATTGTGTTTTGCTTTTTAATAAAACATTGAACAACATAATACCAACACGAAATAGCGAAGGTACGAGACGAATCCGTTTTCGAAGTACCCGTTGCAAAGTACTCGTTACATTTGGGTAATTGCAGATTATTTTGTACTCGGGAAAAGTTATTATTCAAGTCACGTCCACATCCACATCCACATTAGATGACATATATAAAAAATTGATAAAAAGATTGCACGAGTTAACTTACACTTCCGCCACCGATGTGCAGAAAGGAGAAAATGGCAACATCCAACGAGAAACCTTAAAAATAGTGAGAAGATAACCCTCAGGAGCTCTTGTTTTGTTTTGATGAATGCTTACCAACATATATAATAATAATTAATAATAAAAATTTCGTTCTAAATGATTCTAGGAACAATACAAAAACATTGGAAACCTATCTTCCCTTGACTGAAAATAAACTGGATAAATCCGGATGCTTACCAACAGACAAATTTTCAATTGTTCTTCATGGGTGGATTCAAAGTTGTTCTGATGAATGGGCAGTTGCACTTATCGAGCGTAAGTTTATTTTTTAGTAATATAACTGCCCCTATGGTTGCTCAAATATAACATATGGAAAGAAATCTTAACTTAAACGAAAAAGTAGACTTTAAATCAAATAAGATATTCTCGATTTGAAAGAAATGAGTTATGTCGTGCGTGATGCTCTCAATATAAATTTTTGTCCATGTCTTAACCAAAATCTTTCAAAGATATATTTATTTTCGCCATAAACCTGTTTCATAATGTAAGTTGCCCTTATCCTCAGCGACAAATATCTAGCTTTAATGGCGTGTCATTTAAATTTCATTCATAACAGACAAACATAAAGATTCGCGAATTCTGTCGTACAACCGTTCGCAATTCCATTTTTCCTTATATATTTGGATTTTTATATATTATTAGTATTTCAGGGTTGAGCTTTTACCGTAGAGGCTGTGTAATATGTATTGATTACAGCTATGTCGCAAGCTCCTCTTATATCAGGTATGTATATTTTAATAAAGCAAATAAAATGTAAAATACTTATGCATACTCTTCTAGGTTGTATGCCAATTTTGAGTATATATCCGAAGTTATTGTCTCAATCGTAATATCCCTTTTCCAATACGGCTTTGATCCCAGCCGGGGATACTTGTTTGGATTCAGCTTTGGTGGCCAACTAGCATCAGCTGTAGGACGAATATTACAGCCACAGTTTACTTTACAAAATATAGACAGTAATTTATGAAATATGAACTATAAATATGTATTGTTGCTTATTCGAAACATTTTTTTTAGCTTGTGATATGGCTGGACCTGGATTCGATCCAATTGACATAGACCACTCGAAGGCCGCAAAGAATGTTCAATGTTTTCATACAAGTCGGGATAAAGGAACTTTGATATATTCTTGCCACAGAAATATCATGTTGGGCAGCTGTGGACTAAGCCAGCCTTCCGTAGCAAGTCAATTACATCTTGGTAGTCATGGACTATGCGTCGATATTTATATAAACACCTTTGATTATCCTTTTTATGCATTGAGAATACCCCCAACTGAATGCATATCATTTGCTAAAGCAGCGAATATTCCAAAAGATTTTACTGTGGGGTATCAGGAAAATTTCAACAAGTAAGTCTAATGCAAAGTTGGTTATATCTATAGGAAAAAAAGATTTTCATGTTACATCACTTAAAACAAAAACGCCTATTCACGCGTCAAGCGCCACGAACTCGCATTGGGACCTGTTGCCCAACCGTTATAGCTCGGTTTCATTATATGAGATACCCCATCTATTCCAAAGGATGGTATATAATTATTATTACTACTAATTCTAAGTTCTTGAATAACTAAGTTGTTTATAGTCTGATCTTATTTAAATTTTCGGGAACTCACCCTTGTGATTAGGCGAGGCCACGTCCATTGATTATTTAAAACGAATCGGCTTTTATTTATATTAAGGATTCGAAGAGTTGTTGTACAATTCGACGAAATTGTTCTGACAAGCCATGGTGATGCCTAAGTCCACAATAAAAGAAATATCCCTCTGAACGCAACTTAGCACTGATCTTCTTGAAGGAAAAAATTGCTTTAATATATATAGAAATGATGGATCAAGTTTATCACGCGATATTGGACGCCAGGGTTTTTCATCACACAGAAAAGAAACTCATTTCTGGAATATGGATTATTTTAGGATTAAAGTCTCTAAGCATCTGGCAACGCATCTATTAATATCAAATGTTTATGTTCGAGAACAGCGAAACATTTGTTTTTAATTTTTAATGGCGCAGTTAGCCGTTTGGGTCCTAACAGGGATAATGTGGCGTTAGCAGTCCCGGCTATGCCGGGTAATTTCTTTTAGCTGCAATTAAAGAAAAAAATAATAAAACTAACTTTTTTCTTCTAGGCAAGTTATTGGTAAAATTTTCGTGCCCACAAGCTTACATTATCCCTACAACCTATCGAAAAAGGAACTTCAACTTATATCCGGGATGAATGTCTAACAAAATCATCATATATATAACAGATTAAATAAAAATAAAATTCACATAACAAATATATTTTTCTTGAGCTCTTTAAAAAAACTTTTAATATAATATATGCATAGAAGAGATTCTTGTAAGCGACTTATGACTTATGACGACTTATAAAATACGTAAGGCATTATCCACCGCCATAAATTGCGTACATACATGCGTATATATGTACATACATACATACAGACATACATATACATGTACGAACATACATATGTATATATATATATATATATATATATATATGTATGTATGTAAGTACATGTATATATTTATATATAAA